CTCCCGGACAGGGGGGTCGAGTGATGGCAATGTCGAGGATTGCGATGTGCGATTTTTGACAGCTGACGGGCCACCGCAGCAGCAGGGCTGGTTCAATGCCACCTACCTCTCCTCTGGAGTCCCAAGCCGCTGGGTGCTGTCCACTGGGGGCGTTTGGGCGTTCAGGCGTCGTTGCACCGCCGTGAAGGAGAGGCTTCAGGCAAGGCTTTTCTCTGGTGGCCTGCCTCTGCGGGCTTCGGACATTGTACAAGACAGAGCCGACTCACCGTCTCTACAGCCAGTATTGACCGAGACACCTCATTCTGCCTCAGCCATTGTGTTATGTGTTTGCCGGGCTGGAACAAGGTTTAACACAGCAACAAAGTTGTCGTCGCCGATCGTCCTCCCTCCCGTGCATTCCAACGGCGTCGACGGTTCGAAATAAGCCTTGCCCTGTCGAGCTGAAAGAAAGAGAGGCACGAGCAACAACGAACGCAGGAGTAGCAGCAGCATGCAGGCAGGAAGAATCTGCTGGCCCTTGCGTACCGGTTGTCGCGCCCGGGACTAGTTGCAGCCTGGCAGGCCAAACAGTTCCCGAGTTGGGGAGATGTGGCGTTTTTACGGCAAGCCAGGAGCGGGAACGGGGCGGCGTTGGTGTGAAGCCGATTAATACCGGTTTTTTTTTTTGGTGCTCCTCTCTTCTTCTCCCTGCTAACAGCGCGTGTTTGCTGATTAGTGACCTCTGCGAATATAATTGCGCAGAAAAAGGGGATAGACGGAGGCGGGAGATTCGTCCAGCCCGGGACGGACATATGACCGGTCTAGTCGTGGATGATGAGGAGCCACCACCCGACCTCAACTTGTCTCATTATCGCGCTTGGTGGTGCAGTGCAGCGCACATCAGTCATCCATCGCGCATCAGCGCGACCCGGTATCGTACAGATTGCAGCTGCAGATACGGCGGCAGATGCAGCAGCGGCGCGCTCAGGCGCTGCGGCGGCCGAAGTGTAGTACCAAGACTGTGTAGCATGCAGCATGCAGCACGCTGGCCGCAGGGCGCCCCCCACGCATTTCGCACCAGATGGTTCAACATTGTCAACGCGAACGACACGGAAACAGAAGACGGCAGGAAGAAAGGGAGCCAGCAGCCCCTCACTTCGCCGAGTCGTCGCCGCGCCTTCGATCTTCACGAGTCACGATGCGCTGCCGCGGCGTCTGCGTTGGCCGTGGAAATAGATTGTAATGTTGGCCCCCGCTGGGCTCCCGCTGGGCCTTGTTCGTGCTGGGCGGCCATGGGCATGGCATGCCACGGTACCCTGCCGAATGCCGATGAAGCGAAGGCGGGTCGGGCGGTTCGAAAAGGGTTGTTCTTGGTTTGATCTCCCCAGGCATTCTGCCTTGCTGCGTTTACCGCTTTCCGTTTTGTGCCTTTGGGCGGGAGAGAAGCAACACTGGAAGGAAGGTGAGCCAGGGACAGGCCGGACGGAGAAATCGCCCGAACTTTTTTGACTTTCTGGCAAGATTGTTGGCGCGTGGGAGAGCCTGCCTCTTTTGTGTGTGTGTGTGAGGTGAGGGATGAGGGAGAGAGGGGACGGGGCGATGCGAGGCGGAGGACGGATGAGCGTGCGTTTGCAGATGTCAGCTCGAGGGCGTTAATGCGAGCAGGAGGAGATGTCGTCCGTTGGCTTGTATCTTTTTCGGAACGGTGTTCTGTGCGCCCAGGGGCTTTTTTTCTGGTCGATTGTGTTGGACAACAGCTTGTTTCCAAGCTTTTCTCAGGCTAGGAGAGATTCGCGACGCCTCGAGACGCTAGCAGATGCGCCAGCGCAAGAACGCACCACACCCCCTTCATCGTTCATGATCGGCGAGACAACGCTCGCCCCGACGGTTTAGTCTTAGCCAGGGGGTGGGTGGTGGACGGTGTCTGGAGGAGGAGGTGCTGTGTGCCTGGAGGAGGGGAAAAGAAGAAGCGGTTGAAGACACCCTAAGCCTGCCGCTGGACGGGTAGATCCCCTCCTCTCAGTCTCCCCTCCCCTCCCCGTGGACAAGGACCAAGGAGGAAGGTTTGACTGACGTGTATTGGACGAGTATGAGGAAAGAGGTGGTCGGAGGGCCAGCACACAGCATGCCTAGCGCGCGTCCGCGCCCAGTCTCAGGTCCCTCGATGCGGTCGTCGCGGGAAAGAAGGGACTTGTGAAGCGCGTAGGAAATAAGGTGAGATATTAGAGCGCAGAAGGGGAGGAGATTTAGGGTCTTTGACTCGAGGAACCGAGCCCCCCTTCTTCCCGTGGTTGGTTGCCAACAAGTCTATTATTTGGAAGGCATCTGGAATGTGCACTGACTGGCATTTTGGTGTTGGGGGCAGAGGGGTCTTTGATCAGTAGGTAGGCCGCTTTTCTTGCAGAAGATACGGATGCCGCAAGGACAATGAATGAAGGGCGTGCTGCAGGCATCTTTTTGGTGTCCCTCGCATTCGACAGGGCTGGCTGCCATGGCAAAGTTCCCAGGTCCAAGGTCCAAGGCAGGTTTTCTGTTCCTTGGCCGGCAGAAAGGAGAGAGGCGGACCCTCCTTCGTATTAATCCCCGCCGGCTGGGCGATCAACGTGCAGTCCCCTCCCATCTGCAGCTGCTACACCGAAAGAGGGACAGGCAATGCGAATGCTAGCTTCGATGCGGCATTGGGCGGGCTGCTATTTTATCGTCCATCCTTTTTTTTTTTTTTTTTTTTTTTTNTTTTTTTTTTTTTTTTTTTTTTTTTTTGGTCCATTAGTTTACCGTGTTGACAAGCGAGAGAGAGGGGGGAGAAAAAGATGGGAGGTTGGGGGTCGCTCGAGATGTAAGTGATATGATAAGTTGTAGTACAGTACATCAAGGCGATGATGAGATTGCTTCTTTGCCCCGACTGGACTGGTGTTGCAGCGCCGCGGCGTCCGTTCCTCGACATCAAACAGGCTGGTGGTATTGTTTGAGCGTCCGACTCCGTGCTCCGTATGGCACCGTCACAATCCCATGCTGCCACATCGTGGACTATCCGCGTCTGGCAAAAGATCCAGGTAGGCATCAGAAGGAAAACTGCGTCTGTGTGTCGCTGCTCATTACTCTTATTTCGTTGCCGCCGCCCAGTCGTCTGGTTCGGTTCTTGGTGGCATCGCTAGCACGCGACCTAAGAGACCGCCGTTATTCCGCACGTAATCCATTAATGAAGTGGTGGTGCATGGATGGATGGACGGATGGACGAACGAACGGTGAGCGAGGTGAGGTGAGATGCAAGTACATTGGCTACCGAAAGTCGCTACGGGGCCTTAGTGAATGCAATATTACTGGGTGATTTTCGACTCAGTCAATCGAGACTGACGTATCTTGTATTATGTGCGGGCTCCTGATTTCTATTATTACAGTCATCCACCGTGGGCGCCCCGTCCGTCTGCCTCCGCTCCCCTCCCCGTACCCGACTCCTGGTCTTCCGATTGTTCGATCTGCCTCTTTGCCAGCCTTCCATTGGCCTTCTGTCGCTCGCTTTATTTTTCTGTCTTTTCGTCTGAAATCCTTCAGGCCTCTTTTTCGCCCCCTTGTCAATCTTTGGAGTGCCTACGGTAGCAGCCAGGCTGCCAGGAAATCAAGAGAAGGGAAAGAAAAGTGTTTGCTCAGCACCAGCACCAGCACCATCAGCACATCACCCCTCTTTCTCTCTAACTTCCGTTGCCTACCCGTCCATCTGCCGCCCGGTGTGCTGAGACATCCTCGATCGAGTCTCACACCTCACCATTCTTCTACAACAAGCTTCTGTCTCGCCTGGCGACCGGAGGCGTTTAATTTGCATCATCTGCCGTCCTGTCGCAATACAGCGCGCGTTCCTCAGCACCTACCTTACAACGCAAGGTACCTACGGCACACGGAGTCCCCAGCAGCAGGTACCTGAGAAGAAAAAAAGGTGGAGGCCATCATAATATCCCAGCTCCGCTATTTTATCGCTCTTTGAAACGTTCCAGCTCCAGTCTTGGACCAGGGAACCCTCTCCGTCCCGTCCTCACAGCTGCACCTCGACCACCTCTGCGTCTTTCTGTCTCTCGCTCGACGCACCATCCCCGACACCTCAGTCCACAGCTTGTCTGCCCGCTGAGGAGAAGACCCAGCCGACACTCGGGATACCCAGGACAGCCCAGACAGCACTGACTGGCCGAGTTGCTGGTCGCCGCGACAGTCGTTCGTTAACGTCGTTCGTTCGTTCTTGCTATTCATATCCGCAGCCCACCACCACCACAGGAGTACAGAGTACAGGCCATCGACTTGTCTGCCTCTGCCTGCCAGCTTGCCTTGCCTTACCTAACCTTTCTCTGTGTATCCGTTCCTACCTACCTTCCGAACGGATACCTTGTTGTTGCTTGTCCGTCTCTCTCTCTCTCTCTCCCGTCTGCCGGTAGTGTACACAGATACCGACAACACCGCACCCCGGGCACAGCATTCCCAAGTACCTACCTTACCCTGCGGATACCTTACCATTCGTAGGTTTGCGGCGGCTCTTGGTTCCCTTAACTGTGTACACCCCCAGCTTTTTTCCATGGTCATGTCCGACTGAGGGGGGAATTCGAGAAGCAACCTTACCTCACCTTATCTCGCCTCTCCTACACCACCACCGTACCGTCACCCTCACCTTACATACCTTACCTCACGCACACCTCTCTCTCCTCACCTCATCTCCAGCCCAGGGGAGCCAGCAGACGTCGTGCCACTGTGACACCGAGCATTCCGCCCGCCCTCCCTTAACCCTTCTCAGCCATATCACGACCCGATTCCCTATTCAGCCGGCAACCCGCACCTGCTAGCCGCCCTCTGTCGTCACAGTCGCGAGTAAACAGCCCTCCAACACACTGGGGGACTAGCCAGCCATCATTTATACGACACCCCAAGGAAACTTGCAGCTGCAGTCAGTGACAAGGTTATCGAAGGAAGGAGAAAGAAAGGAAGAAAAATATTTCTGTGACTGGAGAATTGGCCATGAAATGAATGGTCCGACGCTGACGATGGCTCCGGCCGTTGTCGAACCAGCCAATGGTTCCTACATGCACCGAACACACACATCCGATGACCGCGCCGCCGATGCGACGACTTCGACAACACCGACAAATCGCCAGCGAGGGCCGAGCGTGCAGGGCCGAGCTGCATTCGAATTGCCGTCATTCGACACCATTCCCGACTTCGACACGACTCTGTCCTTCGACGTCAAGGACAACAAGGAGGAGACCCCGGCAGCAGCAGCAACAACAACACAAAAAGCCGAAGAGAAGCTGCCGCAGCCGCAGCCGCAATTGCCGCCGACAAAGGTTCGGTCAGACCCTGTGAAGCTGTCCAAGCCTTCCAAGGACGACGACAAGGAAAATGCGAGAGATGGGAAGCAAAAGGAAAAGGACAAGCAGAAGGAGAAGAGAGGCAGGAGAGCCTCGCTAATGGAACGACGAAAGTCATGGCTGCCAGCCTCCAGGTCGCCTTCCAAAGTTAAAGAGCCGCCTCTCCCCGACAGACCCAGCACACATGCCGGAGACCACGTGGATTTTGCTCTTGTTGCTGCTGCTGCCGCCGCTCCACCTGCTCCAGCTGCGGCGGTGTCATCCGGCTCGGCGGTACCACTGACGCGGCCACCAGAGCTTGAACGCCCCAGGACAGTCTCCGAGAGTTTCGCTAGCTTTGCAAAGAAGTCATGGATGTCGACCTCGCGGTCCCCGTCTCCGAAGAGAAACCCAGAACCTGTTACACAAACACAGCCAGCTACCTTGCGCCCTCCCCGCAGCCGAGCACCGAGCAACGATTCCGCGAAGAGCGCTGCCGAGACCTCCCGCAAGAGACCCGTTTCTCTCCTCGTTGACACCTCACAGTCTCCCGCGTCACGGAGCACCGAAAACCTGAAGCCCACGTCGCGCGCCCTCAACCGAGCGAGCACGTACCTGTCCAAGATCAAGCCTCGCCCGACAAGCATGCTCATCAAGTTGGGGCCTGGCAGCGATTCCGAGCTGAATCTCTCGGCGCCTCCTTCCAGCCTCAGCCTGGCACCTCCGCTCAGCGCCCCTCTAGCGACTGACCAGCGCAACAGCACCAGCAGCAACACCAGCAAGGCTCCCGAGCCGACGAAGCCTGCCGCGAAGACACTGTCGAAACCAGCACCTTCGAAGGCAGCTTCAAAACCAGCTTCTTTCGCAGAGTCCCAGACAACGGTGACGGACGAGTCATGGAGTGAGATGTCGGCTAACAAGGACACCATTTGGTCCGCCTTCAGGTCATTGGATACCGAGTACGCCGGCTTCCCGAGCAAAATCATGCCTCAGCGAATGCACGTGGTGCGGGTAACTCTATTGCCCTTTTTGCGGACCTATATGAATCACATATCCAACAAGGGACTCAATTTCGAGGATGTCGAGCGGAGAGCGACGGTGCTGAACAAGTGGTGGGGCGGATTGTTGGAGATGCTTGAAGGTCACGGCGGCCAGTCGCTTCCAGGTGTCGACCGACCGGTCCTCCTCGAGGCCTTGACAATGTTGATGATGAGGCCCGAATGGCGATCAACGACGACATACTTCATGCCATTGGTGGACCGATCGCCAAATGAACGCGTCCGACCCCGTTCGGGAACCCAGTCGACGGCGGATTCGTCACTAGCGTCGAGTCAGGCTTTCCTGGCCGAGTCGGCAGAGCACAATGTCCGCACCATGTTCGTGAGCAATCTCATGAAGCAGATGCAGATTGTGGTGGACAAGATGTCGCTGCGCCATGCACCGCTGAGCCTGGTCAATTGGTGCGGTAAAGCCTGCGCCTACGGCTTCTTCTTTTGCCCGTCGGTCGCCGAGATTCTAGTCCGCCTCTGGGATCTGCGGCCGGAGCTCATTCGGCGAGCCGCCGACGAGTTTGGCCTCCCGAAGAAGAACAACGGCGAGAGCGAGGACATTATGGCGCTCTTCCCTCCGAACCTGGGAGTCCTTGGCTGGCAGTCGCAAAGATACATCAGCATGCGCTTCAAGGAGAGGGTCAAGCTGTCTGTCATGGCCGCGAGAATTCCGTGGTTCAGCCCTTGGGTGACTAGATGGCGTGGCGGCGAGACGGATCTCTTCTTCATTTTCTGCAAATATTTCCACATCTTGTCGGAAGAGTTCATGCCCGAGGGTCTGCCTTTACTCGAAAAGGCGCGATCGCCAGGTTTTGTGCTCGTCCAGAGTCAGCTCCTGGCCTGCCTCGAGTCTACGATTCACAGACAAGCCGAGGTGGACGCGATGATGAACCCGCTCCAAGCAGGCGATTCGTTCTACGGAGCTGACGCTGCGGCTACCTCCATGAATGTGCCAGGCAACTTGTTGAAGAATATGGCCGAGAACCGCCTCATCGTGCTATTGAAGGACATTTTGGGAGAGTCGGCACCGATCTTCAGCGCTGCGAGACGCACCTTTGCAGAGGCCTTCTTGTCCGTCATTCGCGGGGGCGTTCGGAAAGTCTCGGTGTATGATCACAGCGCCGTGTTCACACTCTGCGATTTCCTGGAGGAGGCTTTGGTGGCTTACGACCAATTCGACGACCTCAACAACCCGAACATCTCAAAGTGCGTTGATTGGCCTTTCTGGCTCGATGTGTGCAAGAAGATGTTGGTGTCTGACAACGCCATGACGGAGGTTCGCCTATTGTCCTTCATCTACTCGACCTGGGAGACCGTCACGGCAGACCCTGCGAGAAAGAGGGCACTTTGCCTCGACTGGCTGCTCTCCGAGGAGATCTTCGACACCTACTTCAACCACTGGTGCCCCATGGTCCGTGGCTACTACATGCGCTTGCTTTGCTGGAGGATATGCCGAGACGCCGGCAGCGCCAATGAGACTGACGCCGAGATCTTCCTCGTAGCTGCGTCCAGACTTAAGACGGTCTGGGCTCACTACCTCTGGCTCCGCAACACCGCCGAAGCGGCGGAAAAGTTCCCCCCATCTACAGCGCCCTGCCTCCCGACGCCGGGCAAAAAATTCATGATCATCCGCACCGAAGTCAACCTCCCACAGCCGGGCTACTTCAACCAGCCCTTTGACTCGTTCTCCAAGATCCTTAACGGCGAGGGCTCTGTTGCCACAACTCCGCCTACCGAGACCGCTGAGGCTGCTCCTCCACCGAAGCCCGACAACAACAAGAAGCGCTGGTCTCTGTTTGGCAAGGTCTTGTCGCTTGGTGGCGCTGGCTCATCGAACTCGGACAGTGAGGACAATGAGCCGCGCAAGGAGTCGAAGTCCCTCACCAAGAAGGTTCGCCAAGGCGGCCCGCCACTGCCCCCCAAGATTTCCACCTCCGCCGCCTCCGCCATGACTTCATCCTCAGACGGCAGCTCTCCCGGAGGCTCCCCCATCTTCATGGAACAGAAGTTCGTTTTCAAGTTTACACTCACGTGGCAGCCTCCTGCAGTCCAACAGCCTCGCGACCGCGTGCTGACCCGCCCGCGTCTTCCCGCTCCGGCGCAAGCGTGGGTCAGCGCCCGCTCTCGAAGTGGCAGCACTCCTCCGCCACCTCCGGCCGGTCTTCCCGAACCGACACGCCGTGTCTCTGGCGCAAAGCACCGGGGTCTTGTCGATGAGGCCAAGAACGCCGGCCCATTGAGCCCGCCTACGTCGCCGATACCGACGTCGCCCACTGCCACTGGCCTGGAGCGCAAGTCCTCCGTCACCGCTGTATCCTCGACTTCTTTGGTCCGCAGACTCAGCAACAAGTTCGACTTTGAGGAGAACCCCAAGGCCGAGCTGATGACCTTTGACTTTGAGAACGCGGAGAAGACGTCTGCGTCGTCCGTGTCGTCCGGCGACTCGACAGATGCTTCGCCGGTGGAGGAAAGGATCGAGGAGGAGCCGCAAGAGCAGCAGCAGCAGCCGCTGTCCCCGCCGCCGCAGCAGCAAACGCACCAGCCCCCGTCGAGGATGCAGAGCCGCAGGTCGGGCCCTGAGCCGCTGACCCAGCCTCTGCGTCCCACGGGTTTCTACACCAAGCGCGCCGTCTACACCGGCCGCGCGCTTGCGGAGTGGAGCATTGTCGTTGCCGAGTGCAACGGTTTCGTTGATCGAAGACGGGACGAGGGCGTTCTCGGCCTCAGCGACGTTGAGGTGCCGCTTCTCACCGTCGAGGGTTTCAGAAAGATTGGTTAGCCGCCGTCTGTTGAATACCAGAGGCAGCGCAATGCATCTCCCCCTTTGGGAAGACTACCGAAAAGCGTTATGACAGAGGGCTGGATACGAGAACTGCTGGACACGAATGACTCCCCTCCCGAATGAAGACAACAGCAACAGCAAGCAAGCATAAAAGCATCAAAAGTATAGGCGTTGGCGAACCACGCCGCCTGATGAAAGAAAAAGGCGGCTCGTATTTTGGGAATTCTCTTGACGCACTATACCAATTCCCCGACCGAAATCCTCCACCACTCGAACGAGCTCCCGCCGTTTCGTTTATTTCGTGGGCTCCTGTTCCAACAGACTCGAATCCCAAGCATTGTTTCCTCCCATCCGCTCAGCTTATTGCTTAGAGGATCATTCTTATCTTCTTCATTGTCAGTATTGTTCTTGACTTATGCAAACATCATCAAAGTAATGATAGTTTATTCTTTTTTCTTTCTGTGTGTTTGAGATCGAACTGGTGTGGGATTTGGTTGGGCGTTTATTTTGGGCAAATCGGAATCACAGAGCGGATTATAACCAATTGTTGCGAATAAGGGGAACCGGGGCATTCATTGGAATTAGTTGTCATTTCGTGTGTGTGAACCAAACAGAGTTTATTCATTCCATCCATTTTTTTTCTCTCCATGTTCAAATTCATTTTAAACCGGGGAACCCGGGACGGCTTCATTCGAGGGAATATATTGTGTGAGATGTTTGTAGGATATATCCCGTTACTTTCAATGAGGAACACCTCTTCTGAGTAAATGTGAAGTTGAGGTGATGTGTCTTAGTGATTCTTTGAATACAACGTGGATGGTGGAGACGGATGGCGTAAGAGAAGTGAAGTTGTGGCTTCCTTGTACGATCAACACGTCAAATTCCGTTTCCGCGGGGGGAGTTACCACTAAGCCAACAGGTTTGATGAGAATCTTTAGTAATTATCTGTTGGGCGACGACAACAACCAGTTTCGCCCATAAAAGCGGTAGCAACCACCAAAATTTCACACTTGCAGCAGCAAATATGCTTGGTCGCAGCGGGTGGGGTTTAGGGATAACGAGATCATCAGTCTTGTTCAAATTGCAGGCATGACAGTAGTTCCCTCGTTCTCTAACTCGCTTAGGCCGGTCTCATTGTCCATCATAAGCACTGATTTATTCGTATTCACAGGAGGGTGTTTACTATTGTGAAAAACAAAATCACCGTCAAGCACTTGGAACAAGGGCCATTCCAGAGGCGCCAAACAGAGGTGGTCAACTTCGCATATCAGTACGAGGACACGGAGCTGTTCCGAATGTTTGCTCACAAAATTGTAAGACTTCTTCGTGCTTGTCCTATTTATATCCTCACACTTCCAAATCCACCCTCTCACACAGGCTGCTATTTAAGACTCCACTTCCTTCCACAGGCTCAACTTCAAGCGAGCAAAATAGCCTCAAGGTCGTCGTCGGGCATCCGCACCTCTCGGTACGTGTCGTGCCGCTTGCCCAGCACTTGAATCGGTCAATCTTTGTGGGCGTTATCACAGGTGCGTATCATTGTCCTTGCTGTTCCTACTCGGCAGCGGTTACTGAGGCCTTTTGTATCATCGAGGCGTGGTCTTTCAAAGCGATTCCACGCCCAGTCCATCAGTAGAGCAGCACCCTATTGTACGTAACGTATGGACGGAACCCGAAAGTACGGCCGGTTGTCCTCGTTCAAGGTTGACATCATTGCCCTACCGAATGAGACGGCCCCATAATCTAGGTATATATTGAATTAGTTTCCATTGTTCGAAATCAATCATACAAGCGTGAAGCTGGAGAAATAGTAAGGTGACATGCTTAGCAAGAAGACACGCTATGTTCCAGAAGCAGGTTTCTGGCCAGTCTCTAAGAAGTGTATATATCCGAGAGAATGACCGTCATGATGGATGCACAGGCCAAAATAAAGGCGCGACGTGAGTCTTTCGCATCGTAGAATCATGAAAAGCTTCTTCGTCCTGAAAGGGGTAGGCTAAAAAAGGTTTGGTATGTCTGAATTCAACGCTGTCTCTATCTTTCCCCTTGGGCCTCTATCATCGCTTGCGTATTCATGCCGTATCCGTGACGTCGGAATGAGGAAGCGCCTAGTTTCGGGTGCAACATTCTAAGAATGCATATGTGAAGGGCTTGCCAGGTTCTTCTTTAAGCGACAAAAAGAGTTGCGTCAGATCTCTCATTGGTGTCGCAGGTCATGGTCTTGTTATGGGCCTGCTCGTTCTATATCAACTAGCGCATCTTGACGGAAGGGATTTACGGCATTCGCGCGGCCACGGATTTGGTTTAGGAACATGACTATGACCGCCATCATGTTCAGCAGCACTTCAACATGAATTGCTAAATAAAGTGCGAGAATTCTCAGGTTATTTACCGTAGTATTCCGGTGCCAAGGTCAGCTTCCTGTGTGGCGTTGCTGCAGCACGAAGCGGGCGTCCAAAGCAGCTGAAGTTGAGCAGCGCCGCATACTCGTGTCACTCTGACCGGCCCTGTTGCAGCTGGGGTGTGGTGTTCCAATCGTACAGCCAAAATCCAAACGCTTTACGGAATTCTCTTCAAATCGTCGTCTCTTGTTCCGTGAATATGGCTGTGACAAAGACCCAGCTTGGAACTGACTCATCAGGTCGCTGAAACCTTTGTGTTGTTATTTGCTCATGAGACCAGTGGCTCAAGAATGGAGCATCATGAAATAAATAAACAGAAGCTGCTAGTAGGCAATCAGAAGAGAAAGACGGGACAATCGGCGGAGGCCAGGGACGACAATTCTATCTGGGAGAGACGGCTTCGAAAGTCGTTTTCACGGTAAGCCCAAGCATGGTGCCCATGGCTAGGAGACGCGTTTGATCTCCGGGCCATCCCTTGCCTCTGCTCTCTGGATGTTTAGTGCGAATACGCAAGGTGTTGTCGCGAAGTAGCGGGCAAGCCTCTTCAAACTGGCAAAGTGAATGTCCATTAGTGACAGGGAAAAGCTGATGTTCACTACATTTGATGGCCCTTCAGCGTCAGGGAGTTTGTGGTTACCTATCATTTGACGAAGTAATAGTTTCAGATCTCCCGTGTATTTATATGGTGAAGAAAGATAATGGAATAGCCACCCCCACAGCTGGTAGCAATCAAGTCAACTTACATACCTTCGAGCTGCTCCACCTTCGATTGCAGAACCATGACATCTGTCTCGTCTGCATGAATTCGATAGTTGTTGCTTGTATGTGGCCCAAATTCAACTCCCGAAAAATAGCTGACGAAGCTGATTGCCTTTCTAGGCATGCAGCTGAAGCCCTTGGCCAGATTCGTACCCTCCATCTGTCCCTGTTCAGCTAGCGTGGACGGATGACTGCGGCCCGACCCAACCAAGATGTCAAACTCAATTGGAAGGATCGTTTTGGATGTGATAGATTGATGTAGTTTCAGCTGTACAAGAAGTTGACGCTGGCCCAATCGTTGCGTGCGGAATACGTGACGTTAGGTGCGTTCAGCTGGTGGTTTGAACGCCATGGCTCTACACCAACAGAAACGTCGCGGCCGAAACAAAACCCTCGGCTGAGAGATGTTGGAATCGTGGCTGGCGTAGTTGAACTAACGATTCTCATGTAAAATACTTACCCTTTTTTTCATCGTGTGATCAAAGTGATGTCGAAGATAGCTGAACATCTCTTCTAAGAAAATGATTGAGTATATAAAGTAGACCTTAGTAGGCTGTTTCCCTTTTGATGAAGATCTTCTCAGCAGAAAATCCTCAGAGCAAACCGACCATTGACAGAATAAGCCGATCAATATGAAGCCGGCAGTTATCTTGACCAACCTTATCGCCGTGACGGCTGCGCTTCGCATTCCTTCCCAACACTCAACTCAGTCCATCGTGGTTTTGGACACCGAAGATATTGAGGTTGCCTGCTCCATCTTTTGTATTGGGCTCAGTAAGTTCGACCACTTCAATAAATACCTTGTTCTTTCTGACTGGAGGTTTTTAGCCAGGTGTTGTCCAAGCGGGTTCTGCGTGGCTCTCTGGGAGTCCTGTTAGGGGCTTGATGCCAGTCGACGACGCGGATGGGATTTCGACTTGGATGCGGTGCCTGAAGTGAACTAGGCAGTTGGGACGTGAGGGGCCATGCCAGAGTTCGAGTCCGAAGACAGGCAATGGGGTGATTGAATCGAATACTGGGATATATAAGAACGCATGATGAACGGCTCATGACTTTGTACTTCTTCAAATCGACTTGGCTGTAGTCTGATTCTGCTTGTATCCGTGGCCCAATTGCTTTTAGTGACGATTCGCGACCAAGACTCATGATACACATAATATCACTTCAAAGCAGGCCATGAAGACCATTGCGGCCATTGCGGCCATTGGGGCCTCTTCGGCCTCTCTGCTGTTTTATGTGTATTGCGTACTTATACTCAAGAAGAAGTACATATAGAACTTCACCATGACAGCGTATTGATGCATGGCCCTCAGGGCGTCCTCCTTCCCTGCAAATGAATCATAACCGGTAGTCAAAACCTGGCGGGAATGTTAGACCATTGGCGCTTAAATTTCAGCTAGTCTGATTGTCATGATTCCTCTTATACCTGAGAATGAGGCAAATGCTAATAGTTTTGCGCATAGCGAAAACCCAAGACCTAGACTGAGCTGGATTAAAGATATAAATTGCACTCGCTTGCGACGGTGTTCCAACGTGCAATCCGTAATTCATCCCATACATCGAGAATGTGAAAGTGGCTTGTGAATGAACGGGGGAATTTGTGGGCGTGCGAATGCTATTGATAAGGTTGGCAAGGCCAGCATCGTGCGACGGTAGAGTTGAGGCCATCAAGTGATTAAACCTCTTTCCGCCTCCGGTGTCCGGCATTCTTACTCATATGTCTTTATGGTTTTGGAACGAATAGTTGGACGACACTACCGAACATCTCTGCTTCGGAGCTGGGAGTTACAAATATTGTGGCTAGGCATAAACATGGAGTCGAAAAATGACAGACTT